GCAGAAAAATGTTCCCTGGCTGCTTTTACAACTGGGGGGGAGAGAATTCAGCTACAGTTGTCTACTTATTGCCCACAGCAGCTCAAGGGCAGGGAGGAGTAATTGGACCGTCTTAAAACCAAATCCAGATAATGCGGTGAGACACCGTAGTGACCTTGGAGTCACCACTAGAGGGCAATAAAATGATGCAGACAGCCAATGCTGAGACAAAACAATAGGAGGCCTGATGCGAGATGAGATGCAGACAGAAATTTGTTAAATGATGTGGTATCGGCAGCACAGCGGTCGGAAAGACCTATGCAGATTGGACCGTAGTCTCTCATCCAAATATTAACCAGGGCTGATTTAGCTTATCAGCCAATATCTTCACAAGATTGGGTTAGCCTGGGCTATCCCGGTCAGGGCAGCAACAGACTACACTCTCCCTAAGCATCAACACTAAAAGAACCTACAATAATTAAAACACAACGCTACCCTTGTCTGGCAATCATCACCAAGCAAAGCCAATGGCAAAACCTGTACTGATTTTACTTTGGGATTTGTATTGTATGAATTCAATGCACTGCAATGAAACTCTGAAATCTATGGGACTTCCTTCTAAGTAAGAATTGAGCCATAAACGACTTAAACTCCAGAACAAAGTCTGAGTCCAGTAGCTCCTTTAAGACCAACAAAGTTTTATTCAAGGTATAAGTTTTTGTATGGAAGCACACTTCTTGCACATGAAAGCTTATACCTTGAATAAAACTTTGTTGGTCCTAAAGTTGCTAGTGGACTCAAACTTTGTTCCGCTGCTTCAGATCAACATGGCTACCTACCTAGATCTACTTAAAGTCCAACGATTCCAATAGGATTTGTTTGATTTCATGTCTAGATTGCTCCACCTAATTTACACTACAGTGCTAAACGTTTGTGTATCTGCCTACCAGCTAGAGTAACATTTTTGTAGTATTAACGGAACATTACAGTTAACATTATACTTCTGGAGCAATAAGACTGGATTAGCAAACTGAGAAATGAAGCAATACCACTGCAAGCCTAAACAAAGTTTCACCCCTCTAAATGCACTGAAGTCAGTCAGCTTAGGAAGCTGTAACTCTGTTTAGGATTGCCCATTGTCAGCAGCTCGGAGTATTGATCTTTCTGGCAGGAATATTAAGTGCATACGGCTGTTCAACTCTATATTTATTTAGTTTCTGAAAGTTAATTCAGTTTTCAATCCATTCAACCAGGTTTACCGACATGGTGACAGAAGCCCCGTTTCAACTTTTCCCACAAACTCCTATCAAGAATCCATTTGGCCACAAGGATATGGACAACTCACCAGGGTTCGACGTTTGCTTTTGAAAATTATTGAATATATTTTAATCAGTATAAAGGAATTGGCATTCCATTACATGATTATTAACTAAGCTCGCTCCACTAATGGCAATGCCAGTTAGGTACAGTGGATTACAGTGGAGTCAAGACAGCATCTGTTCAAGTTTGCATTCCTGGGAGTCAGTTTCTACATTCCTACTTTCCCTTTATTTTTAAAAGCTGAATTTTTAAGCACTCTATAGAAAAAGCAATTAAGTTGCATTTGCACCGTATTTTGCTCCTATAGGGTTACTTTAATAACAAATTATTGTCTGGGCTGAAAGAGTTAATGGGTTGGATCCAGCATGTTTTTGGTCAATGTCACCCAATTCCCATCCTTGCTGCAGCTCCCATCCTACATGGCTTTTGTCTTGACAGGCCCCATGATCCTCAGCATAGAATCTTTACTGGTCAAAGGGGACCCCACGCTTCCTTTTCCACCAGTAGAAAAGCTGGTTGGATCCAAACCATTGGATATCACAGAGGATTACAACTGAGTCTGACTGAAGGTCCCATTCGACGATCCTGTGTCCCCAAGCCCACCATGGGGACATGGTATCATTTTAGATTTTATTTTTTAAGTTTTCAAAATGGCTTGGGGGTCCAATTCTGTTGGGGAATGTGGTACAGGGGGACAAGGGGCTCTTGTCTCCCTCCCCACACCATTTTCAAGAGCTGAATGGTGCCTGAAGGGGGACAGGACTCCTCACCCACCTGCACTGCAGTCCCCAGCAGGATTGGGGCCTCGAGGCATTTTGAACATTTCAAGAACAGACTCTAAAATGGTAGCACATCTTGTGTTGGATTCTGGGGCACAGTATCATCTAGTTTGGACCTGAGAAACAAGACACAAACTGTGAGATTTTCATACTCTGCTTATGAACTATTCCACTGATGACAATGGGACTTCGACTGTATGCATGGCCTATAAAATCATTGTACCTAAACAGTACATAGAGACATGTCTCATCTTAACATACAGTTCAGCTGCTAGGTTTAGGGTGGATAGTAAACATTGCTGCACCTCTACACTATCACAACCTGAAGCGTTCTGAATTACACTCACAGTAACCACCATTACCAGATGCCGTTTAGTTCCTTTGTGCACATTTGTTATCCAGAGCTGCTCCCAAACAATGATTCTTCATATAGCTCTTTTTTCTGGCTGCTATGAATGCAGCAGAGGCACTCATCGTGGAGATGGAATATCCACACGGTTTTTGGGCACACTTTTCTTGCCTTGTTCCCCATGGCTGACATCCCTACCACCACCTGAAGACTCTTTTGAGCTTCCCACCCACAGCAATTGCTAGATTGCCAGAGTGCCACAATCTGATAACAGTCTTTTGCCATGATCTACTAGTTCAGTGATGGCGAACCTTTTAGAGACCGCGTGCCCAAACTGCGGCCCAAAACCCACTTATTTATCGCAAAGTGCCAACATGGCAATTTAACCTGAATACTGAGGTTTTACTTTAGAAAAAACAACTCATACGTTAATTTAAGATGATCCAAACAAAGTAAGGAAAGCAATCCCAAATGCTTTCATTTACTTAAAATTATTTGGCAGAGAATTCGACACTTTAATGATGGTCTGGGCCTGGCTGGGGTGATGGCACGCGTGCCCACAGAGAGGGCTCTGAGTGCCACCTCTGGCACCCGTGCCATAGGTTCGCCACCACTGTACTAGTTCCTCAGAATTCACAGCTTTCATTTTTAAAAATTCTCTAGCCCTTTTAATTATAGAGGCATAAGGAGTGCTGTCAGTGAAAGGAGAACAGATAGAGACTTGCTCTTTTAAAAAATGGATGCTGGGAATTCAGAGAGCTAGTAGATCATGGCAATAGAGCCTTGTAATTCATTATTGTTATTGTTATTATTTCAATTTATTAATCGCCCTATCAGAGCTATGCTGGGCTCTGGGCGATGTACAAGAGAGGCATAACGCCGTAAAACAAAATGCAATTTTTAAAAAAATCCAATACAGTTAATAAGAATAAAACCAGATGCGATATAGTGATATAGCAATTGCTGGTTTAAGGGGGAAAAGCCTGAAAATGGTGACTGCATGGGTAGGAAATGACACTGAATGAAAATACCCACCTTTCTTGTCTACACAACATGCAAAGGCACTTTCATTGCAATTTTTCTAAAAAAATACTGTATCAAACCAGGATTGAGAAAGATCAGAGTGAAGCAGGGGAAAGTCCAGAAATTGGAAGATGAGGAAATTACATTATGTTACAAAAAAAAACACCCTCCCCCAAACCCCAAACCTTAGTGTGGAAGCAGCCCAACATGGCAAGGATGTGCTCGGTGAAAACAAAAGAAGGCTTCTCTGTGTGGCATCTTCCAAACACTGCAGCCTTGAGCTTGTTTGGAGTTTCTAGCAGGGGAGCACAGCTATCGTATGCCCTCGATGAAAGAACAGTATCCTCCTCCTACCTGGGATGGTCACCCTCTTCCACTGAGTTCTCAACTTCAGGAGGGTTGCTCGTGGATCAGGGAGGGAGAGGACACCCACCTAGCCAGCCAGATCAACCAAATCAAGCCTGGTGATCAATGGAGTGACAGATGTCGCCATTGGATTGCCTTCACACCCTTGATACACTGCGGCCAGAATCAGAAGCATCTGTATGCTCCCCCCCACTGTAAAGGAAAAGTGCATCTTGGTATCAGCAAAGCTATGCAGAAATGGCAAGAAATGATAGCAGAATATTTGCATTGTTGTAAACAGTGATTGTATTATTCAAGTCAAAGTTACAGAGGGTTGACGGAAAACAGTCCAATTTCTCTTGTGGCCAATCTTGGAGATTGTGCCAAAATCTAGACTTCAATTCTCTTTATTATTTTTTTTAAATCTAATTTGTACCCTGCCTCTCTCCCCAAAAGGGAACCCACAGAGTGTCACATTGTTTTCCTTTCCTTCATTTTATCCTCACAACAACCCTGTGAGGTAGGTTAGGTTGAGAGTATATGACTGGCCAAAGGTCACCCAGCAATACTTCGTGGCAATTTGGGGATTTGACCCCTGAGTCTCCCATATATTAGTCCAACACTCTAAACCAGGGGTGTCAAACATGTGGCCCGGGGGCCAGATCAGGCCCCCAAAGGGCTTCTTTCAGGCCCACAGTGAAACTGGCTGTCTTCTGCTGCTTCTTCCAGTTCTGCCGCTGCTGCGTCATCGTAGGTTTGCAGCTTACAGATACACACCTCAACAGCATACTCAAGATTGCAACAGCACAGACATTTTGATGCAATAATTCAGAGCAAGAGGTGTCAGTTATCAAATACTGTTAAATAAACAAAATATTGCAAGAGGGCTAATGTTTTAAGCATGTTTTTATTTTAAGTAAAAAATCCCACTTTGCGTTTGTGTCCTTTATAAAGTTCATATCACCGCTACCTGGCATTACATTTTATGACACACATGGCCCGGCCCAACAAGGTCTCATTTATGTCAGATCTGGCCCTCATAACAAATGAGTTCGACACCCCTGCTCTAAACACTACAGCATGTGGCTCTAGATGCTATCCTAACACAACTGTGAAACAAACAGGCAAAAATGGTCAACTGTACTCTTCCACGAGTCAATGATTTTACTCTTTTGTGATTTGACACTGTTATCATATGATATGCAGAGTACTTTCCCTCCTCCAAAATGGTTTGTTCAAACAGGTGGAAATTAATTATTTAATTTTCGTATGGCAGTGTGTGGAGCATAGCCAGGAGATCCTAAGATTGTCTGGCAGGCAAAAGTTCTAGCTCATTAGCATTACGCACCACTAGGTGGTGAGCTAGACTTGTTTTTAAGGCAAGAGACATTGCAGAGGTGGTTTGCCATTGCCTGCCTCTGCAACACGACCCTGGTATTCCTTGGAGGTCGCCCATCGAAATACTAGCCAAGGCTGACCCTGCTTAGTTTCCGAAATCTGATAAGATCGGGCTAGCCTGGGCCAAACAGGTAGAAAAAAGTGGCAATAAAACAAATTAAGGCCATAACCCATGTTATTATTGCTCCCACAGGACGGAATAAAGCAACAGTACAAACTTGGACGATATTTGAGGAAAAGATATGGAACATTTTTAAGCCTTGAATACAAAAGAAAGGAGGTGAGTAAAGGAACTGTTCACTCAGCAACAATGTTTATATAAAATATTGTTATCAAAGTCAAGGTATCTACATGACATGCATCAGCCTTCCAAACAGATGAACATGCCAGATCTGTACCCGTGGTAACTAACTGGTGACCAGTGCGACTGTCCAGAAGATCCTTATGTGCAAAGATGAGATGGTGGGATTGCAGACTGACTGGTGTAAATTCCTGGGGAATGTAATTTACCGAGGCTAAAGAATCTAAACTGGTTGGTGATTTGTTTTGAGGAACAATTTGAATGGTTGGTTATCACCTGTAAAGCCCTTTGTGGCCTGAGAACAGGCTGTTCCCATAGACACCTATCTATTCATAAGAACATAAGAACATGAGAGACGCCAATGTTGGATCAGGCCAAAGGCCCATCCAGTTCAACACTCTGTGTCACACAATGGCCAGAAATACCAGTGCCATCAGGAGGTCCAGCAGTGGGGCCAGGACATTAGAAGCCCTCCCACTGTTGACCCCCCCAAGCACTAAGAAGACAGAGCATCACTTGCCCCAGAGCCCCTAGCTATACCTTGTGGCTAATAGCCACTGACGGACCTCTGCTCCATATGCTTATCTAATTCCCTTTTGAAGCCGTCCATGCCTGTAGCCACCACCACTTCCTGTGGCAGTGAATTCCATGTGTTAATCACGCTTTGGGTGAAGAAGTACTTCCTTGTATCCGTTCTAACCCGTTCATTAAGCTCATACTCAGTGGCCCTCTGTTCTAAGGAGGGTATTCACTAGAGACAAACAGGTCATTCTTTGTAGTGGCACCCATACAAAACCCTCATATCCTCCATGTGTCGTCTACCTTGATCCTTTCAGCCAGGCATACTCTGGGAGTTCCATGTTCTCTGCAACACTGCACTGTTCTTCAGCTCTCATTTAGCAACGAACACAAAGAAAAGATATTATTGGGCTTCATGCCCACTTCACTCAGCGTTCTATCTGGTGTTTAGTTCACGGGAACAGAAGTCAGCAGTGCTCTGATCTACTCGTATTTTGCCTCTCTAGATTTATGTCCTAAGCACAGACGTTGATCGAACTATTATGAGCGCTCAAAGCAACTTAGCTGGCCTCTTTCCTCCAACTGGTGGCCAAGTATGGAACCAACGCATTGCTTGGCAGCCTGTTCCAGTTCATACTTTGCCTCGTAAACAAGATCGGGTAAGAAAGCATATGCCATATGTATATACAGCCTAAACATCAGGTTGGAGTCTCTCACTCAGACATATACTCTCACATATATACTCAGACATATACATGGAGTAAGAAGGAGATTTGTAGGTGGGAAGAATTTTACATTTACATTCATAGCCTGATTTAGGGATGCCAACCTCCAGGTAGGACCTGGGGATCCCCTGGAATGACAGCTCATCTCCAGACTACAGAGGTCAGTTGCCCTGGAGAAAATGGATACTTTGGAGGGAGGACTCTATGGCATTGTCCCGTCCTCCATCCAGGCTCCATCCCCAAATCTCCAGGAGTTTCCCAACCTGGATCTGGTAACCCTCCCCTCCCCCATCCCCCACTGGTGGCCAAGGAGCACCTGGCAGTTCTCCTGGATTGTTCTGAGAACAAATACCATGAATGCCACAAAGCTTTTGCTAACATTGATATTCATTAGGAACATCTTGGGTGTCCTGCAAAATAAATAAAACGTACAAAGAGGACCTCATCCTAGTAGTAGTATCGAGCTTGATAAAGATTTATGGGGAACTCAAAAGTTTGTTGTGCAGTGTTGTGTGTCATTGGGTTGGCCCTAATAAAAGGTACTGCATGGATTGTGTCCTTGGCTTCCCAGTTTTTATTTATGGAGCATTATAGCTGTAAACAACTGGAATATATTAGGGACAGGCCACAGTAACAGGAGCTCTTCTGCTTAATGCATTTTATTATATTTTGTTTCAGCTACTGTACTATCCTATCCTTGACTGTCCACGATTTCTTAAACTTCTGAAGGAAACCATGGATTCAGGTGCATTCAAGCTCAAACTGAAAGACTATATGGTAAGAAAAAGAAAGCATTCTCAGTGGATTACCTGAAAACCAGCTCCATGCCATTTCTTGAAATTACTTTTACAGCTCTAGAGATTATAAACCTGTTTCCTCCCTAATAACATCATGGCATTTCCCAAGGTTGTTTTATTTGTAATAAAATGAATAGTGCACGGGTCTCCAACAGTCTCGTGAGCTACTGGTAGCTTGCCAGATGCTACAGAGTAACTGGTGCATCCCCTAGAAGACTCTGGAAAAGATTGTGAAAATATCTGTTCTGGTCTTTTTTTCAAAAAACAGTCTTTATTTCACATGATTTTTCTCTGTGCTGCTGAGCTGACAGCTTCATTTCTGCTGTTCTTCCTAATCCGTGGACTGTTTGTAAGACAGAACAAAACTTGGCAACATGTGAGCAGATAGGAAATAGCTTAAAGAAAGGGTTAGCAACCCCTGCAGTAGCAGATGCGAAGGAAGGTCAGGTCTCTAACGTATTACGTAACCTGTCCTAGTGAATATCAGTACATGCCAGTAAATGAATTTGGAGTGAACTAGATTGTTCATTGAAAGAACCTAGACATTTTTGAGACCTACTAACCATATCATCAATGGTTGAGGCAGCAGCTGCTGCTGCTGCTTGGGGTTGGGGTGAGGGTGGAAGCGTCTGGACGACACAAACCTGCTTTATTAATCCTCAACTGGAGGGAAGGTCTGTGCTGGACAGACACATAGTGCCAACATTTTCTTTGTCTGGTCAAAGTGTGGACTTTTTCAAACTGCATGCACTATGAGATGAACCTTCCAGGTCGTCGTCGTCGTCGTCGTCGTCTTCTTCTTCTTCTTCTTCTTCTTCTTCTTCTTCTTCTTCTTCTTCTTCTTCTTCTTCTTCTTCTTCTTCTTCT